GCTCTCGTGTTACCATTGTCCACTGTGTTACCATTGTCCGTTGTGTTACCATTGTGCGCTGTGTTATCTTTGTCTATATTTCGCACGCACACAATGTGGACGCTGTGATCTCTCGTGGCGAGTTTTTCTGATCGTTGTAACTCGTGAATATGAGTGGTACATTGGAAAAGAGTACAAGAGTACTTGTCTTATTCATGATAATGATAGTTAATGCTTTTATTGTAAGTTCCTTTTAATTGAATTTTAACATCAATCTGTATTTGTAATATATTTGGTGTTGTATTTAATAAATAGTTATTCATAGAGCAGGAAGAGCAATTAGAAATTTCGCTATTTTCTTAAATTATAAACATAATTTAAATATTCTTAATGAAAAATTCTAAATACACCAGCTCCATGTACTCTGAGATGGACATTTTTTAGCATTTTTTGTTAAGAATGTTTTGGAGTATAGTACTTCACAGCATTCACATGCAAAATTGATGAAATATTTGAAGATAGTTTGAAGAACTATATATTAGTAATTAGAAAACTCGAGAACCGAAACTGTGTTTTCTATATTAAATATTTGAAGCCGAAGGAAGGTATCATGAATGGATATTGCTGCTTTCTGGCAGTTCATTTACTTCGTTAAAAACACGCTAAGCGGCGGTGTTTGAAGAATGGATTGCTAGACAATTTGTAACCAGTTTTTTTTGTTTTTACATTTTAAAGCTCTACAAAACTTCTCGCAATTAACAGCAAACAATCATATTTGTTCCCATTTATTCGTATATACCTTCAGAGAATAATTTTAATTCATACCAGTTCATTTTTTCATCCATTGTCGAAATATTAATTTTCTTTAAAAAATAGTAATCAAATTCATACCACATATATAAATGAATTATCCATCAGTCGTCAGTTCAATAGAGTTTAGCTGCGTTCCTGGAGCCGGGAAACTTTATTGTAAAATCTAATACCTTTAGTGAGAGTACAGTTGACTAGCCTATAGTAGCGTCTCGGCGTGCGCGGTATGTCACAACTGACAAACATATGGTATGCCATCCAACATTGGACACTTGAAGAGAGATCCATCACGTACTAATGCATAATCAGACGGTAGATCTATCCGAGCGTCTCACGTTACGTAGACTTGGCTACGTTTCTTGAAGTCAGTACATTCTTATTCATATAAGCTCATTGAAAGCTCTTATTAGCTCTAAATCATAAAACTATATTTATTTAAGCCACATCAGTACCATATTAATAAATATATACTTATGTTTCGGATATTTTACAGGGCCCATATTCACTGGACCTAGATACTACCAATCCTTCACGGACTTGTGAATGAATTTTGTATACTAATCAATTTATTATTAAAAAATATTTGGATTACTTTATGTACGGTGTACCGCACATTTTGTGCTGTTCGCAGCGCCTTTATGGTTGCCGCGGATTTGTATTATGACGAGTAAGCATTTGTGTATACTGTCGCATTTGGCGTTAAAATATATCAGTTCGAATATTGTAACCATTCGACTCGGTTGTATCATTTTCGTCTCCTTATACTATTTCCTCAGAACATCCTCCTTATCATTCTATCAGCTATCAATCCTATCAATTATCATTGTTATCAGCTATCAATTAAATGTGTAGGGCTACCCCCTACACTTTATTTATACCATTTTTGAATAATTCAATAAAAAAAGGAGCCGGTGAAAAATTGATTCTAAGTGACGAATCAGAAACTCTTATATGAAAATATAAATACCTAACATATGAAGTAATTTCAGATATAAAGAATGTATACTTATATCTGAAATTACTTCATATGTTAGGTATTTATATTTTCTTAAAATTATATCTGTCATGTTCAATGTGTAATTGACTTAACAATATTTAGTAGTTGATATTTCTATTGCTTCTACAAGTAGTCTCCGTTCCTTTCTTACCACCGTATCATGCGACGGAACCACTGACTGAAGCAGTGAGGGTTTACTCTTTTAAGGATCTTATCCTTATCTTTTTTTAAATCTTCAGGATTCAATTAAAACTTTAAGTTTTTAATAAATTGAAGTTGGACAAAACATCAACTTCATACCTTCCATAGATAAATAATTAACAGAGCATTATGGACTCTGCTTCCTGAACCAAAACCAAAGAAATAAACTACGACAGAGATACCAATCTGCAGTAGTCAACAGTCACAATTGTTACGAAATTACAATTTCATCCAAACAAATAAGTTTCTTGTTCTATTTGTTTATATTTTCTTATGTAAAAGTGTATTCGCTTTCCGCCAGCGGCTTCGCCCTCGTGATTCTATATTATATGACTTTCACCTTTTTACTTTTAATAGCTTACATTTATTTGTGACAGAAATAAAGTGATAATTAATATTATTTCTTCATTTAAATATCTGCCTAAGTCATGACTTAAATGTTACTTAGAACGACAAAACTTAAATGTTACTTTTACAGGTGACCAACGGACTATTCGTGCTTAATTTTTATTAAAAAATAAGGTAAATAACTATAAAATACAAAATATATCCATTGTTAGTGTAGCTTTATATTAAAAAATATATATAGGTATATTAAGAGGGAGCTTAAAGTCTAAGTGACTTTCCATCCTAGTTTATCTTATTGCAGCATTGATATGATTATGGATAGAAAATTATGCGACAAAAACGGTTTTTAATTTATTACTCGCAATTAAATATGACTGTTGTAAAAATCTATCATAATTTCATCAGCTGCAAAGTATCTCAGATATTTATAATTTTCCCTGTAAAAAGGGTAAGATTAAAATAGGTTATTGAAAGCAAACAATTTTAGTGGTAATTTTTTTCCACCGAGATAATTTTATTTTTCGATTGTGACAAAAAAAACATATTTCTAGTTGTGCCATGACATAACCACTAGAAATATAATGTAGTTTTCTGATTTTGATGAACAGCTTATTTGGACGACAATTTTTATATAGAAAACAATTTAAAAATAGATGATTTTGAGTGTCTTTGGTACCAATTATTATCACGTCATATGCCTATTTTTTATATATGTATAGTAAAGAAATTATTTTATCAATTTTGCATTCACAATATATAATTAAAAAAATAAAGATTTATTTAGTTAGTTTATTTAATTATAAGAATTTTATAGTTAAATAAACTAACTAAATAGGAAGAGTATTTACTTTATTTAGCAGATTTATTTAGTTAGTTTATTTAATTATAAGAATTTTATAATTAAATAAACTAACAGTTAGTTTAGTTAGTAGTAGTTAGTAAATAGTTAGTTAATTTAATTATAAGAATTTTATAATTAAATAAACTAACTAAATAAATCTGCTAAATAAAGTAAATACTCTTCCTATAAAGATTCCAAAAGTTATATCTATTCGAATTTATCGGCATAATAAATTTGTAAATTACTTACTAATTTTTATCATTCATTTATATATTTTTTTCCGAATATAGTGTTCTTAAACGTAATAAGCAATTCAAATAAATCGTGGTTGAATTTATTAGATAATATTAGCGAGTCTATGTTGGCACGAAGCCAGCTTAACTCGAGCTACGGTGATCAGATGTGAATTCATATAACTTTAACTTAACTAACATGTGTTTTTTACTCGTTTTCCTTTTACAATACCATATTGATATCCATTACCTGTGTAGAAAAGTTTGAAAAATATTTTATTTTGTCAATTTCAAAACAATAATTGATTTTTAACAAACTTCAAAACAAAACCGAATAGCAACTCGATTTTTACAATCCTATTGTTTAAGATAAGTAAACTCTGTGCCTAATTTATCTGATTAACTTAGTATTTATTTTATATACTATTAATTAAATCAATTACTTACATTTACTGTGTTTGATTAGTAGAGTGTTTTTTAATTTTATTAAAAGACATGAAATGATTCCTTTTTCAAGCAAGTCTTGATGTTGAGATATGTAGAGCACGGGTATGTTGTCTGTCATTAATAATGGACATTATACACTCGTCGGCCAAAACGGCGGATGTAGAAATTAATACCACCCGAAGGAAGCCATCGAGACGAGGCGGAGGCTAAACATAATAAAGCATAGAGTGCACTGAGTGAGGAATTACGCGCCAATCCACCTGCTGTAATGTTGCACTATGGATAATGCGGACCCCCCCTCCTCCCCCCGCCCCGTGCTCACTCACCCACCGACCGCGGACCTATTCATTTCTTACAATTAATCAAAATTAAATCAACCGCTGCCCGCAATGAACGATTGTAAAACTTATAAGCTCGTTCTTACAGTTTCATTTGGTGTGCCGCAGCCGTTGAGTAGGCGTGTCCGTCGAGAAGAAATCTGGCCAATAGAGTGCGGTAACAAAATATCCGTATTGGCTATTAGTAGGCCCCGCCCGCGCGGGTAGGGGGGAAACTGCTCGTGACCGAACGGCTTAAAAGTAACGTCACAGAATCGAACATACGTCGTTATAGTTTGGAGCGATCAGAAACTTGCTCAGTTCTTAAAGGTCGTTCGGTGGAGGCGAGGGGTTGCGTATTACGTCGATTCCTCGGCGAGCGAGCCGCAACCGACTCGAGGGGGGTTTTCTCGTTTTTACAAGCCGACGGGCGGCGCCGCGACCAGAAGCGCTCCGTACGCCGCGGCGAGTGCTCGTCTCATCACACGGGAAACATAACGAAAATTTTCGTGATTACTATACACCGACTCGGAAAATAATAACCATTCTGTTTTCCATTTTCAAATCAGGCCTAAATTCGTGTAGCTTAATTTTTAAAGGAAACCTCTTAGTTTCAAAAACTTAGAAGAGTGTCATTAAATATTTTATGATATCATTCATACTTGATCGAGAGTGTATATTCAGATTCAAGACTTGAAGAAGATCCCCCAATATCGAAATTGTGATTTGGTAATTGTAACTAATATAACAACGAAATATGAACAAGCACAACCCCATACATGTGTAATAGTAATGTAAAGTAAGGATAAGAACACATCGCACGCAGAATGCAAGCGATGAGTGCGAACGCGAGTGCGCCTAGAGCGCCGCAACGGTCACCGTTCGCGATACAAGAGTTGCTCGGGTTGTCAGATAACCGGGAGTCTCGGGAACGGTACTTCGAGAGTCGGGACGACAGGGTGTTGAATCTGTCGGAGCGGGAGCGGTCTTATGCCCCGCAGTTCCCGCTGCCCGCGTCTGTTGCCAGCAGAGTTGCGTATGCGGCGGCGTTCAATGCGCAAGCTGCAGTTGCGGCGGCGTTCTTGCCAGGACCGCCACTTTTGCACCCACCGCCCGGTGAGTACCGTATCTTATAGGTAAAAAATAATATTCAATATAAACAGCCTTGAAACAAAAGGCCTTTCAACTATAATTTTGGTTTCGATCTCATAACAATACAGCATGTCTATGAAGATTAAAACATTGTATCCAAATTATTCTACGAGTTGAATTTAATTAAGATATTTATTACATGAATTTCTTAACCGAAGCGTTGAATCTCAAGCTTTTGTGCATTATAAAACAAGTTCGGAGCGCGACTAGGCAGCAGACGGTGCATTGTGCGATAAATTGGGGTTTTTAACTCTATAATTAGCGTGTTTGGCGAGAGACAATGCTTTGTGCGCGACCGCCGCACCCGCGCGCCACCGGCTCCGGTTACCACGCCCGCACCACTATAAGTGTGAATACGGCTTTATATTAAACAAACGCAAGACTACTAAAAAATTTAAGCTGTCTACTGAGTAACTTTCTTCATAATAATTTTAGGTTAGATTTTACGTTTAAACCCCTTATTAAAACAATATTAAACAGTAAATGAAAGTTTCACGTTAAAAACTTTTCATAATAGTTCATTGGCTGAGTTAATTGTAGTGTTAATTTGTATCTATTTGTTTCATAGGTTGTATTTCTAGCGAATAATAGAAAATACAAACCACCTATTAAATAATTGAAATAGAGCCAAAGCATGATAACAAATAAAAAATTTATCCCAAAGTTGAAATGTGACTTTCGTACAAAGTTTATCATTTTTATAATATTATTATTATGTCTGAGATAGTAGAATTAAAGTAAATACTCTTTTTTTGAATAACGTAGATTTAATAGATAACAAAATCTATTGCCTATGGTAAATTTTGTAAATTGCTTATAGTTCATTATACTTTTTAATACTTTCTTTTGTATTTTGTTTTATTATGTGTCATTATAGAAAATATCACAAGTTTCTACTATATTAATTTATTACAAATTCTGTACCTAAGTAAGAGTCGTATGCTTAGTTGGCAAATTAATAAATATGCCATGTCTAAAAATTTTTTTACATACTCATAAAATTGCTTGAAAAATTTAGACGACAAGTCAATTTGTAAATACATTTTATATTTGAGAAATGCCGTCGGCAAAAATATTATTATTTCTTTATTTGTTTTGTATTAGATATTTTTAACTAGATAAAATTAGCTTTCATAAGGGTAAAATATTACATTTAGGGATTTATGAACAGAAAATCAATACATTGATTAATTTTGTTCGATTTCATTTCGGCTTAGTGTTAAAAAAACCTTTCTATATTGTCTCGAGTCTGAATGTTGTAATACCGATTATATTTCTGTTTTCCAAAACACAAATATGTTACGTATGTGGTTTTTTTGTATTAAGAGACAAGTTTCAACGGCTTGTGTTTTAAAAATGTCGTAATTTATTATCAGTTTTACAATGTTAAGTAATTATCGATTTTTTAATTACGCCAACACAATAAACTAGTGTCAAGCTGTGTAGGGTGTAGTGTGTCGGAGTGCCAATCGATGGAGCGGCCCCGAACAATGGGCCCGCGCAGGCCCCGCCGCCACCACCGGCTAATGTAGAACAGCTGTACAGACTGAGCCGTCTATATACCTATGTCCTCATCCTATGCAAAAACTAATATGAGTTTGATGAAATCCTGATAAATACGTGTAACACAAACATGTACTCTGCGTACTGTCTTACCTAAAACATTTTCTTTCAAATATTCTTAATGAAAAACGTTAAGACATTCACTAGCCTCTGGTACCTACTGTGAGATGGGACACGAATCCACGGTCTTTCGCAATTCATTAAAACTATGTTCCAGTACAGCACTGTGAATGCAAAATTGATAAAATAAAATAATTTTCTTTCAAAAGACAAAACTATTCTTTGTTTTATTCAAACCGCCTTTTAACGAATATGCCTAATTTTCTTATTATTCTTATCTATGTAGGAAAATTTATAATCTCTGTCTTATATGAAATAAGCAACTTGATTATACATAAAATAATAGATTTCGTCCTTGTCAGAAAATTAAGATTTTTCGTTATGTCTGATCTGGAAGTCTTAAGTGCCTTCACATGAATATTAATTATGGAAAACCAAGTATTGTTATATAATTGTATCACATACATTTTTTACTTCAAGGTCTCATTAAATAAATATAAGACGACCACATCGCTCAGATGTCAAGATCAGTAACTAGAGCCTACGCATGATAGAGTATCTGAGACAACGAAGGTACCGCAACAGCCAGACTAGATACAATAGAGAAAAATATTTTTTTTACATTGACCCGACCGGAATCGAACATATTAACCTAGGTATATCATGAATATAGTACGTGAGCATACAATATGCAAGTGACCAAGTTTTAGTTTGGAAGGTGTAATTACGCCGTAGGTTAAAACGTTACACATATAATAGTTAAAATAAAAGAATCATAAAAATAATAAAACTCTGCTACTATATATTATAGTCCCTCCGTTGTGTCTGTCTGTATGTCTGGCAGTGATTATCTCAGAAATAATAGAATAGATTGTGTGATTATATTAACTGTATACATAGTGATTCTCGAGTAGGTACACACAAGTAAAAATCATGCCGCCTTTTAATTTGCTACATGTACAGATGAATGTTATTTGTCAAGATTTATTATTACTTTTCGGCTTCAGGGTGACGTTTGAAGTCTTAGTTTAAACGAAAATCAACATTATTTGTACATTTATAAAGGTGTGTACACAATAAATTTTTAATATTCGTCTTATAAGAGTATTCCTATGTTTAAATATTTGAGGTGCTCGCGATTTGAAATTAGTGCAATATTTTTGAGCGAAATAAAATACTTGCAATTAAAATGCTAATGCGCGCTCACTGAGATACAACAAAAGAAAACATCGCTCATTTATCGCCTAGACCTTGATATAATACAATGAAAAATAAGTTCAAAAACTAAAACCTGACTACAGATAGAACACGCTCCAAAAAGTTTGTAACAAGGAAATTATTTTATAGCAATAGCTATTATATTATAGCGACGACGAAAGGATTTAGACGAGTACTCGGGTTTTAGATTTTGAACTATTTTTTTTATTTAATTAATTTTCGAGTGTATTTAAGCAAAATCGCAAGCAAGAGCCCTTTCATTTGATACTTTACACGGAAAGATTGAATAATATATTATTTTTAGTTTTTTACGAGTATTTTATGCTCTCTAGAAAGCGCTGTTGCCAATTTAATGTAACGTCACATAGGCTATAACACGTGGATAACTAAGACGCTTCTAATGATACCTCATTTTTCCAGTTTCCATGAGTAGTTTCGAACTTATAACTGAAGAGGTGAACATTCTTACATTCATACATCCGGCCAAAATTATAACTCTACTTGTCGCTTCGCCGTAGTCGGGTAATAATATATAATTGCTCGCCACAAGGATGCATTCTGTCGGTTGTTAGTTGATGCCACAGGTTAACTAATAGGAGTGTAGTGTCTAACTGATTGCTATTGTAGGCAATATTTAACTTGAAATATATGTCGTCCATCTTGCAACCCAATTTTAAAGCAGTTGCCCTCAACCTCTAAAGCTAAAATATTGTATAAAGGTTTATAATAGATAACAGTGCATGGTTATCTAAGTTAGATAATTTTAAATCTAATATGGCGGACGGCGCAACGTGGCAGCCTAATTATTATCATCACACGCAGTACTACTACCTGGTTACGGTCTTGTCACATATTTAATCATATGTGACAAGAATATTAGTAATCTAACTCATTAGTAATTAACTGTTACTAACAATGATACAGCTGTCTGTAGGTGATATTTTTTGAATTAAAACATATTAAATTCTATTACAAATGATCCGGAGCCTATTTCCTCTTTATAATAACATTAGTTTATTAGATTAGAAGTTTGTAACCAATTCTTTTTTTTATTACTATTCCTTTGATATTTAACTTATTTGTACTTAGTACCTATCTAAATATTGAAATCTCATTGGGGAGATACTGGCTTCTTTAATACAGGTAAAACTAGCTAAGAAGTCAGGGCCTCAAATATTTATGTAACCGTTATTTGTAAAAAAATAAAGGAATTATTATTATTAGACAATATGTTGTACATAAGTCTTAAAGACAGTTTGAGTTTTGGACTACATATATCTATAATATATATTTTTTATACAAATAATCTAGTAACATTGTCTCCAACGATTTGATGTATGGTACAGAGAACAGCACGTTACGTTGTACATTACTGTTAAGTTTTTTAGGATTTTAATAGTTTTATAAGATTAATCCGGCCTTGAGTGAGTAATAAACCTTTCTCAAAAAACTATGGTCTAATAATGATGGCCGCAACGAAGTGTATAACATGCTTTAAGTTTTCTTATCGTATTAATTGTAATGATAATTAATTCAAACAAAGCTAGGTTCAGGAAATAACTCTCAATATTCACACGATCTCACAAAATCCATATACACATTTATATCATGGAATACTATAAAATATTGTGCCACAGGAATGAAACAGTAAGAAATTCAACGACAGCGTTTTATATCCTTCTTGTTATTGTGATAAAGTTTATTAGGAGACTAATTTTCAGAATTATCGTATTTTGTACTTTTACCAAACATAACAATACAATGCTACCGAAAATTGATACTTTAGTTTCTCTTTTGTTTTATATTTAAACACGAGCAAGTATAAAAAACCAGTCACAATAAGTACAGTTCATTATAACGATCCAATCGCAATCCTAATCTTAAAACACATACGCGTCGTCACCTCGAGACCGAAACTCGCGGAGGCACCATGAAAGGGCCTAAAGAACCTCACACCTACTTAAATGAGCCTTTGTGCGCCACAATGAGGCCAGATAAAGGACTGATTCGTCTGAATGAGATCCAGACAAAGACGGTAACATCTCACCAGAGTGGTCAGCCGAGGAGTAAAGACATTAGTTTTTTTTTCTCTCTTTTCTTGTCTTTTATTATCACGCTCTGACAGGATTTTGCAAATATTATTTTAGAATTTGGAACCTGATAGGGCTTCAGATTTTTTGCTTTCTAAGTGTGAATAGTTTGCGAGTGATTCAAGTGAAATTGTTGATCACATATCATCCATTGGATAAAAATGGTAAGGTTGAAAATAATCATTCCGTAGCATTAGATCTCAATGGTAAGGCTGGAAATAATCATTCCGTAGCATTAGATTTTAATGGTAAGGTTGAAAATAATCATTCCGTAGCATTAGATCTTAATTTATATTCTTTATCATATTAATTCGCAAGTTCATAATTTTTATGTTTTTATATTACATTCAAAAACAAATAATCAGAATATGCATAATCTATACTAATATCATATAGAAGAAAGATTTGATTGTTTTTTAATGTTTCTTTGCATCGAATATGCTCCGAACCTACTGGAACAATTTTCAAAAATTCTTTCAATTACGGGAAGCTACATCATATGGGGTTGACATAGGTTATAATTTACGTGGGCGAAGTCGCGGGAAAATAGGTAGTATAAAATATTTTTTTAAATTTATTTCTGCCATTTATATTTTAAAATAAATTTGATCAATTCAGTAAATTAATGTTATAACTTGTAATAATAATAATAGATAACGATCACATACATTGATCAGTTTCCATGATGAGTAGTTAATAGAAACCTGAAAGAATAGATGTAGCACAACATCCACACCCGAGCCAATATTGGAAAGTTTATATCTTACATTGACTGGACTAGGAATAGTACCCGGGACCTCAGAGATGGTAACACATTGAAATAATATAAAAAATATGAACACATGTTAAGATTTTTCATTAAATTAATTAAAACTACTGCATGCCTTACTTACTTATATGTATATTTAAATTTGGAGTAGCATAAAAATATTGTATAAGTAAGTATTGTTTGTAATTGATATAGTAATATTTTAATTAATATTCCGATTCTATATGACTTAACCAAAATATATTTAATAATATGTGTATTATATTAGCTTCAATGGTAGCTAACTTTAATGTTGATTGTTCTGGCAAGGTTATGTGGGTCACCGTCGGTACCGTATCGACCGGCCTGGAATGCGGCAAATTAGACAGCACATTAACGCTGTTATTAGCAACAAACCCCGGTTAGGATCACGCACACAACATACTCGCGCGATCGTCTAGCTATAACAAAGCTTTATTTTGATTCAGAAAACAAATGAAACTATAAACCAGGGAATGCCCGTCGGTACTTTAATATCAGATGGTAAAACTCGTCTAATGATAAAAAGCGAATACGTGCATTGTGCATATACCTATGGAATCTTTGGAAAAAAAATGTACAAGTAGAAAAAACGGTAAATAAATCTTAATATCGTGAGTAAAAAACATGAAGTTTGCTATGGTAAAAATATGTTTTCAGAAAAAGAGACTCATTTTTATATTGCTAAAGTGAACTTTTTTTTACATATAAATGAATATTTTTATGTTCTTACTCGTTCAAATATTTATTTGAGTAAAACATTTCATTTGAATTTGCTAATTAGATAGCATACCATTTTTTTGTTTGTTTTTATCAACGTAGTAAACGCGCTTTTAACCACTATAAATGACGATAGTAGTCGCTATAGTTCAGTGGATCAGAGGCTTTATATGAAAGGGTTGGGTTTCTCGCACAAAACTTGTGAGTGTGTGAGTGTGTGCACATACACGGCACACACGCTCACCTTTGGTAACCCTCCGCGTACCAGTTGGTTGTGGTTGGATCAAGTCACAAGAAGAAGCGAGATATTGTTAAATTTATTAAATAGCATTGTATTCAATCATAGATACATATGACTGCATATCAGATAACCACAATATGTCTGATTTAAGATTTCTAAGCAAATGGAAAAATATAACAGCGTTGTTTTTTGACTTTATATTATTTCGATCAATTCTTATTTAATTTAAAGCTATGGAACTCACAGCTTGTAGTGTCGTCATTGTAAGTGCGTTATGATATTTCTATTTTTTTCTGACTGAAATTTGAAATGTAAATTCCTCGGTAAAAAAAAAAGATTTTTTATTTGTTGATGATTCCTAATCTTTCTTCGGCAAAGGAACGTATATATCTATACCATCATGCCAGATCTCATCCGGGGTAATATAAGGATCACCGAGTGCCACAAAGCACAGTCTGCACACACGTCTTTTGCTTCTTTGACATTTATATAACTATATTCATATATGTTCGTTTTATAGGTTCTGAAATCTTTTCTCTAGAAATTAGGCAATTCAAAGTTTGCAGTAGAATTGGAGTATACAATATATGTTTCCGTAAGCACTTACAACCACGTACAGTAAAACAAAACATTAAAGTGTAATAACTAAACATTATTTATATAAAACTGGTTTTATACACATTTTCAATCAATTTTATAATGAAAAATGTGAATATATCATGGATCTCTTCAGCTTGTCGCTCGCGTCGCATCAATCGCTGGTGTCGCGGAGCGGGGCGAGGTGTCGGTGTACGGGCGAGCCGCCGCGCCGCGCCGCGAATATGTTCCCATGTGTTTGTTCTTCCTGTGTTCTCTGTACCTTTTTATTTAATTTTCAATATAAAACCTAATACAACCACCCGCAAGGAGAACGGTTTCTTTTTAACCACTAACACATAAACTTCTTAGATAACTAACACTGAATTCGTATTTTTCTTTTTTATAATTAGACATTATTACATTAGTGGCTAAAACACAAACACCAAAAAGAACTATCTTTAACCCAATCGAGGACAGTGTCTTTTTAAAAGGATAGCACTTAAAAAAAATTCGATAATAGCAAGAGAAACTATGAATTAGGGATTTATTCGTCTCTATTTGTATGCATTTTTGTACATTTTTACGTGCTAGAACATTATGCAGTGCTATTTTGTTTGTGCTGCAGAAACAAAATAGCAAAATAGCTAGCCGTTAGCCTATTATGCAGATTTGAACAGTGTTATTGCGTATAAATTTTGGTAAAAAAAAAAAACAGAAGTTTCTAATTCTGCATGGTCCAGGTACACTAAACATTACACTGAGACTTTGGTCGTTTATTTTTCAGATTGTAAGAAATTAGCTTGAAAAAATAAATTTATTATGAGCTAAATACATACTTTCTCAGCGGCCGGCGTTCGCCAATAGTACTATAATTATTTGTTTTATAACTGAAATAGATTATTTACGGAATTGGGGACAAACTTGATATTCATTAAAAATATGATAATTTCCATAAATTTAAGACTATGCTACAAAAAAGTGTCTTACGCTCATCTAAAAAAAATAGTTTAAAGAATGAAATAGTTTTTGATCTTATTTTTTTTATACTTTTTCTAAATTTTTTTCTCAAACTCCATAATACCTTAATTTACCGTAGTAACGTGTGTATTTGCTTTAGTTGAGTCAAATGTGTTATTTTTGACAACAATGTGTAATGAAAATCTTAAAAATCCAAGCACGCAATAATTTTCAGGCTCAAGTGGGTTAATTATTTGCTTTTATTATTTAAAGAACTTGTTACGTCTTGTTTAAGCATCATTAATTGGAGCTCAGCTTTTTTATTTTACTCGTCATAAACCTTTCTCAACAATCGGCAGATAGTGGTTGCATAAAATAAAGTAAAAAATGCATTAATAAATTGGCATTTAAAAGAGAATAAAGACACAACCACCGCCAACTGAGTAACAACCCTGACTACTTGAACTACCAGTTATAATGTTTGTAGAAGTATAATAGTAACTCACTTTTCGGGTCACCGATATCCGAAATGGTATGAAATAAGAGTTAGAATCATCACTCCATAGCAGGTTCGGGCAAAAGGTCAACTGTTTCTTTGTTCAAATCGTTTCGAATAAAGAAAAAAGTGGATAATTATAGATTTTTCGATTATTATTTAACTCGCTGTTTTCTCGCGACCTTGCCCATGTAAATTATTGCCTTGCGTATAGTCGGTGAGAGATTTTTTATAATAGGATCAGTACCTCTTTATAATTATTATACTTGTATTTGGAATAGAGATAAAAGTAGACTTTATTGTTCACTGTATACATGTTTACATATCCTATTAATATTATAAAGGCGAAAGTTTGTAAGTATGGATGTATGGATGTTTGTTACTCTTTCACGAAAAAACTACTGGACGGATTTGGATAAAACTTTACAGCAATATAGGTTATACATCAGAATAACACATAGGGTACTTTTTACTGGGAAAACTTCTCACTCCCACGGGATACCGACTTCCACGCGGACGAAGTCGCGGGCGTCCACTAGTTTCCTATAAAATACACATCAGGAATCGAGGTGATGACTGGCGAGTGATTAAGTAATTTAGTAATATTTTGTATCTCGAAGGTAGCATGTACAAGATGACTTGATATTCGACGTCTAAAAACACAATATACGACGATTTGCATAGCTAGTTTCTCATTTGTATAAGAAAACACCAAGGGGGATATCTGCAGTTAGGTCGTCTGCAGACGGCGCATGGCGATCACGTCAATCCACGATAAAGTATCAGTCACATTCAATAATAAAATATTTAAATCGAAAAACTCTTTTGAATAATTACGTGTACACGAAAAGAAAACTGTTGGTCAGTGCGTAATGGACACGCCATAAGAGAATTACCAGCGACACATATTTCTTTGAGACATATCCTATTGCAACGTTGGTGGACTGGACAGGGGTGGACAAGACATGGTCTTTTGTCGGACAGACAAAACGTCTGACGAGTGTATGTACCCTAACCTGGCGGAGTTATGGGGAGTTGGCGGCGGGCGGGGGGGGGGGGGGGGGCGGTGAGTGCGGGAGCGGTAAGAGCCCGCGGCTCGACACCTCTGCACAAAGCTCCACTAATAGCTAGTTTCACACCACTAGGCTTACACGCGTGACGTCACTCTCATTATATTATTGTGACGATTTAATATTAAAAATTGAAATATCTTACCTTGTATATTGATAATTTTATTGATTTTTGTTTAGATCTACCTAATGTATTTCATTTTGAAACTAGATTTTTATCTTATATAATTGTATATGGCACTTTTTATGGTTTCTAACCTTTAGTATAAAACCCTAAAGTTTTGTTCAGCCCATGCACTTTTGATTGACAGTAAATTATTTACATTCCATAACCAACAGACAGAATAATTAAAATTGCAGTAAAGCGGCGTCAAGTCGACTCACTCTTCTAGCCATCCACAAACAAACACATTCTCCCATTTCACACTGAATTTGTAGCTTTAAGCTTTTGATATAGAACTTAGAATCATTAAGCACGCCCAGAGCCTCCCTCGTTTCTGATTAGCCTCAAACGAAACTAAGTAGAGGCAATTAGATTTAGACTTTAGTGTTCGGGATTAAAGTCTGTTTCGGGATGTTGTGAGCTTACAATAATAGAGGACACTCGACCTCGGAGGCGCGAGATTTCCCGCGGGTTTCACTTTCGCGCTAAGTGGTGCTGTTCAACACTTTTGTATGGAAATATTAAAGAAATCCAGCGCTACTGGTTTTAGAACAAAGTCCTTGCAAGATATTATGACAAAACAGCATATTAATGATAACAATAATATTTTGTAAACCTCTATCATAGGATGTTTAATCATTATAACTATTAAATAAGTATATTCTAAAACAGCAGATATCAATCATATAGTTGGTCTATGATTGCAAATGTTTAAGCAACTTCTACAGAGGTCATTCACAGGATGAATAGCCAAAAATGTACAGATGTCTAGGCCGTTGGTCCATGTCTCATAAAACACGTTATTCTATTCATTCTGGTCGACCCATCAATGGGAAGATTAATTTAGCTAAGTAAGGCAGGTTTCCAATAATTTTATCATTCTGCATTAAAATATAAAGGGTATCATGTTCCGTTATTCATCAATCTATTATTCTAAATATCTCTGAGGCGTTCAGAAACCCTTCGTAAATAAAACGTATTCACGTATATTTGTCGCGTGATGACCTTGTTATAGACGTCCCTCTCTCGCGCCGCGCCTCTCCCTCGCACCTCGATTATGATAATGTTCCCATTGTGAATATGAATTGGGTTATTTATAATAAGGAATATTACTCGATCTACTTGTCATGCAGATGTAATCGCATATAATGTGTATATTTG